TAAGATTCAAAAACAACTTCTAAAAAACACAAAGTCAACTCAGCGCCATTGTTGGGAGTCTACTTATGCATACATAGTGGAATTAAAAATTTATTTTCGATCCCTTTCAAGGGTCATCTTGGTGTTTAGATAGAAACTGTGATAAGAATATTACTTTTGTCAAAATTTTCAAATTCCTTTGAGAATCTTGAACACTATCAACCATGATCTCTACTCTTTTTAGTGAATCTTAATTTATCATGGTTTTTCCACACCACAACTGTCCAATCGCCCAACTTGTAATGGTAATATACACGAGAGAACAAGCATAAAAGATTACGGTTTCTTTTCTTCTCTTGTGCTAGTAAGATTAGTAATGAATCAATTGTTATTGTTGTAATCAAAATCTCAAACCCTAATTGTTTATTTATACATGTTTAATTAGAATTGATCCATTCATTAAACATAAGTAGAACCATTAATTAATTAATTTTGGCCTATAAATTAATAAACCAATTAATTAGTTTTTCAAATGTTTCACACATGTTAATTAATTAATTATTACTTACATTCTTCTAGTTCATCTTTTGTGTGTGACTTGTTAAGTTCTTGATCACATGATATCGAACTTTATGAATTATTATTTTGATCTAATCAAAATAAGATAAATTAAAATTCTCCTTTTAATTGATCATAATTCACGTAGGTTAATTAATTAATTCATATTTATCGTCCCGAATTAATATCTAGTAATGTGTCGGACAATACATGTGACGAAAAATATCATATGGTGTAACAAAACCAAACTTATTCGATTAATGTGGAAGTATAATCATTTCGTCAATATAACTCAATCAATTACAAGGTATAGAAATATGCCAATCGATCACATCATTTGTCCCGCTCTTAAGTTAATAATTGTCGAAGCTCTTCCGACTTATGAACTTAAGGTTATAATCACTTACTATCTAAAAGTGAAGAACCATATATTACTCATTCATAACCTTCATATGATTCTTATTATATCTAAATGATATTGTTTTAACAACTCTTGGTAGAACAGCGTTAAACATCACCAAAGTATGATGACCATCATATAAGGTACTATAATGACCTTCAGTCTAAGGGTTGATTTCAATACCAAACGTTAGAGATTAATCACGACACTTAGGCCGTTTATCGATGTGAAACCTCTGTTTTAAGTTTTCAATGTTTTGTTCTCTTAACAAAGTATTCACACGTCCATTTAAATATCACTAAATTTTAGCTTATAATATAGTACTTCATAAGTGAGAAATATCACACATGCTGGTCTAGCATCCATAACGATATTCGTATCTTATTATTACTTATGACTACAAATAATTTAAGATTCAATCATATGCGACTTGTATTGTACAAGTGCGAGAGGGATGTCAGAAGTTTCAAAATTCTGTGCTGGTTGGTAGAAGTAGTGGGCAACTCATACAAGTGTGCGATGCACATTTAGGGTTTGTTTGAACTACTTCTCTAATAAAAGTAATTTTGTAATAGTGACTTTTTGGAGAACGTGTGGTGAAATAGTAGACATAAGTTTTAAATTTACATGTAAAATTATTTTATTTAAAGAAATGTGGTTAAAAATGAGTTTGAGAAAAAATTAATTTCTAAAAAATGGTGGTGAAACAGGGACTTAAGTACCGATTGTGACTTGACGAGTTGATCTCTGAGGGTATTTTTGGAATTTTAATGCATGAATCTTGAAGCAGACGTGATGCATATGTACAGTATTCTATTAATTTAGAGTTTTGCTTGAATTCAAATTTGAAGAACAATGATTGAAGAACAAAAATTGAAGACGGAGTATAGAGTTTCGGCTGCGAGCTTGGACTCAGAATCTTCAATTATTTCTTCTTTTCATCTTTAAAATGTCAATGATGTACCGTAATTTATTTGTTTTTGTAGTTGAACAATGAGTAGCTACATTTCCGTTGGGACAATCGATTAATTTCAACTTTAGAAGTTATGACTTGATTTTGAGTTGAATCTTTTCATAAGTTCGGCCAACTTATAATCTGTTTTTGAGTTAACATTGGATCCAGATGTAAAATACCAATTTAGCACAAATGGTAAAAATCATGAAGTTGGTTAAAAAGTAGAAAAAAAACAGTGCACTTATGAATTTGTTGTGAATGAATGTGCTTAGATGTGTCTTGACTTTGCATCTTAAAACTTTACATTTCCCTATTTTATTATTTAAAAATTTACTCACTGTTTTATTTTATTTCCTCTTGCTCTTAAAATTATTTTTGTAGTCTTTTTTGATGACATAATTAACCTTTTTATTTCATTTGTAAATTTTAAATACAATTATATCTATTATAATAACCTAATTTGAATAATAATAAATAATATCAAAAAACTATTTTACATTATATTTTTAATTTTAGGCTGATGGATCCCTTCCTGGAAGGAATGTTTTATTTTCAGAAGGAAAGAAATCAGAAAGGACAAGGAATTAAAGTAATTGTAAAGTGCACGAATAAGTCCTAGACGAGAGTCTTGTTCCTCAAAACGACGACAAATCCAATGAGAAACGAACACTTTTCTTTTATAAACACATTATATTTTANCACTTTTCTTTTATAAACACATTATATTTTAAAGGCTAACCATTTTCCGATTTCAAAGCAAGCATATGACATAGTTTCATGCAGGATTCATTACGATGAAGAAAAGAAAGGAATGAAGAAAAATGAAAGAAGGTCTTCGTAGCAGATCAATACCTGAGGAGTAACTGAACAATGGTTCAATGCACATTGCCAATGCTGTACATCTTCAATTTGGTTACAATTTCTACTAGTGTTTATTCTGTTTTTTATGGAACGGGATGCACAAGGGAGTTACATTCTAAAACCCATTTTTACTCAAACTTATTTTCAACCATATATTGTATGATACCCATAACTTTTATCAATGTTTCAACCACATATTTCAACTACTTTTATCAAAATCTACTAATCTGTATCAAAATCCAACCAGTGGCATAATGGAATCTGGCAACATTGATGGAATTGGACATTTCTAAAATACATATACCAAAAATTGCGGTAGTGAGGAGCCTAACGGTGGTAAAGGCTCTCCGTTCCTTCTTTACTATCGCTCACTAATCTTTTTGACCATATTATTTACCATGATCGAATCCAAGTGATGGGAAATCCGAGTAGTAATGGAAGATATATCCTTTTAAATAAAAAGTGTATCTACCTTCGTGCAAGGAATTGAAAAGCAAGGATGTACTGAGATATAAAACCTTTCGTTGTGAGTAGGGGTGGACAAAATGTCTAGACCAAACCAAACCAAACGAGAACCGAACCGAACCAAACCAAGCGGTTCGATTCAGTTCTACACAAAAAATTAATAGTTTTGGTTCTTCGAACAAAAAACCATTTGGTAATAGTTTTGGTTTGATTCTAATTCTAGAACCAAGAACCAAACCGAGAACCAAACTTAATTTATAATTTTATTTTTTGTATGAATTTGATTATATGTTAATTGAAGCCAGTCCAATAGCCATTATTTTGGTACAGCTCATAAAACATGTTTAGTTCGCTAATTTTAATTGTATTCAATATTTGTGTTTAAACATCACTTCAATGCATTATTTCAAATTCAAACCCTCAAAGTCTCAAACACCTCCAGACGGCTTCCTAAATTCCTAATCCCTCAAACCTCAAACAACGCAGCTTTTCTGTGCGAAAACTCCAAGAGATGTGCTTGCCATTCTTTCATCTACAGTTGCTTCTGAGTCGGCATTTAGTACTAGATGGCGCATTCTTAATTGTTTTAGGAGTTCTTTAACTCCTACAACAGTTGAGGCTTTGATTTGTACCCAAAATTGGTTATGAGAAGAATCTAGACTTTTGAGAGTAACTCAAGACATAATTTGCATTGAGGAGACAAAGTTCTATAATGAAATTGAATCTGGTAAAATTTATGTTATTAAATTTTATTACGTTACATCTTATTAATTGTAAATGGTTTTAATTTATTTTTTGTTTGTTTTATTTGTATATTTTGAATTATGTTTGTAGAGTTTCTCAAAGTTACAACATAAGTAATGGAGTATTAAACGATTAATGGTCTGATGGTTTCAATTTCATTTTTCATTTTTCTCATGTAGGTCTAACGGCTTCATATAAAGGAATTGATTGAACGGATGATGAAAATGGAACTCGATATTATTAACTTCTTGCAATGACTCGTTCGTTTATATTTTGTTTGTTAGTTTGGACTTTTATGATCTTGATTATTGATAATTTGAACTTGCTAAATGTTTGATGCTTATATTTTGTTATTTAAGTGCATATTAGTAACTTGTGGATATGATGTAAGCCTGAAAATTTAAGTAATAGTACTAGAACTAAACCAAATCGAACCAGAACCAAATGGTTCGGTTCGGATTGGTTCCGTATCTTAAAAAAACTATTTGGTTCTATTATCAAAAAAATCATTGGTTCATGGTTCGATTTGGTTCTCTTGGAACCAAAACCAAATGGAACCATGTTCACCCCGAGTTGTGAGCTTAAAGGCCTTGTTTCCGAAGTAGGACAAATATTCAATCTTGAACCGAACAATACAATGAACAGATTTTAGTCTCTCTTAATATTCAAGTTTGTCTCAAGATAGTCTCTACATATGCAGCTCCCAACTTATTTCTGTCCAAAAGAAAGGTATAAATTGGACAGTCACCTAAAAGTATAAATAATTTTCATTTACAGAACAGATAATGAGTAGACAGTTTTCAATCCTGGAAAGAAAAAATGAACTTGGGATACCAAAAAATATATATCGAAGCACAGAGTAGAATTTGTTCGACTGACACAAATGTCAGGTGTAAAAATGCACCCTTACACGGCAGGTATACTCTCACTTGAAGACCCTATCTATGTACAGTCTCAAAAAAATCTATTTTTGCTTTTCTTTCTCATTAAACTAAATCCGAGGAAACATCTTCGAGTAAGTGTTGGTTTCAAGAAATTTTATGTTTCACCAATTGCACAAGGAATACATGGAGGATTCTTCGATTGGTCTTGAGGAGTAATAGTTTGCAAGCAATGGTCATGAAATGTGTGGCCACAAGGAAGAACGGCAACAAATGGTGGAACAGCAGGCAGATATACTGGACCTTCGGCCATGAATGAGAGATCCCTCTTGCATATATAGCACTTCTGTTCGATTGTCTTAGGAGGTTCATCACCTGCAAAAGCGTAAAAAAACTTGCTCATTTACTTTCAGTGAGTTGTAACTCACCCTCGTAACATGCAGAAAGTTATTACACTAAAAGCCACACAGCTATGTGGAGTACATAAAACTTTAGAGTATTTGATTGCAGCCAACTTAGCCAATAAGCACACTAAGATAAAATGGATCAGCCAATCAGAAAATAATAGTCCAACGTAGATCATACACTTGGTAGGCAACAATGTCCAAATGACACGAACTGCTCCAAAACTTTGAGAATCTCAAAAATTACTTATTGTCAATATAGAGATGATAGTAAGTGAGAGTGTCAATGGAGATACCTTGCCATTTTATATGAAGAGGTGAAGCAGGGAAAGGAGGTCTGGCTGAAATGGGAGCTGGAATGCAACGCTGTTGGTGGGGTACAGAGGGAGGTCTAGCAGGTTGAGGAATCATCCTCTTGCATTGACTCAATGGAGCAGATAGAGAATTTCCATTTTCTCTTCTTATCATAGATACTTTGGAAGCCTGAGATTGGATGCCAACTTTTGGAACAGGTATAACCTGAGCTGTAAATAAGGAAAATTTAAGACCATCATTGCAGGAACCTACACCTAGAATACATGCAAATGTAAATGAAAATAGATGCATTGAGCTCTGAGATTGACCTGGACACTGAAAAAAAAAATTATGTGGGGAGAACCTTCTTTCAAAAAGTAACAAATAACAGAAAATCTAAATAGTAATACCTGTAGTATTTGATAGTCTACAAACAGGCAAACAAACTTGAGAAGACCCAAGAAAATTTAATCTCAAAAGTTAAACAGAGGTCAGGCAATTGCAACAAATGTAAGAACAAGAACACGCATAAGGGAAGAAAATGAGGAATCAACAACAATATTGAACAGCATATACCAATAGCCAATGGAAGTCCAACAGCCTTTTGAGGATAATCAATAGATCTATATTTTTGGGTTTGAAGCAGATTACCTGTAAAATTTATGAAATACAATGTTGAAGCCAACCAACATGGAGCAAAGGTACTCTAGAAATTCATGGGCCTAACTCATCTCACAAAACCGGTTCAACAAGAGAGGTTTGCCACATTGTTTATAAACTGGTCCAAGATATTGTCCACAGGCGATGTGGGATTTATTTCCAACACCCTCCCTCACGTGCAGGCCAGTAATTTTTTCTGGTCCTTGTCACGGGGTAAGTAGTGTGGGCCCACATCAATCCTGTGGTAGGCTCTGATACCATGTAGAAATTCATGGGCCTAACTCGTCTCACAAAACAGGTTCAACAAGAGAGGTTTGTCACATTGTTTATAAACTGGCCCAAGATATTGTCCACAGGCGATGTGGGATTTATTTCCAACATGTACTATACTTTCCTGGCCATATATTGTTGTTTTTAGTTTTTTCGTTTTCTCATGTCAATAGATTAGTTGTCAATCACTTCGACATTAGATCATAATCTTCATAGTACAACACAATTTGAACATGGTTACTTCTCATGCATCTCAGTATGTAATTCCTGTGGAAAGACCATTCCTCCTAGATGTAGTTCTTTTTTCTTTTAAAGAATTTGTCAATAAGAGGAATTTCAACAATAAGTTTTCAAGAATAGCTGCCCGATAATAAGTCCCACAAAGAGTTACATCAAGTAATGATTTTTTACCCCAGTCATCCTCATTACATTTCAATATTTCAATATCACTCATCTGCTCAAGGACAAGTACAAGTCGAAGAAGATTAAGGACCTTGCACAGGAAAAGAGTTGCATAGAACTTTTTACTCCAGAGAAAGGGATTTTCACGGGAAGTTGAACTTAGAATCATAAATTTTCTTTGATATTTGTTTCATATTAACTAAAATCCATGTGTTTCCCCAGAAAATAATTGTCAGCCGAATGTAGAATGCAGAAATTAGAAATAGTAAAATAAATCCCCACAAAAAAATAAACTATTTTACGACATATCCCTTTCAGTTATAGTTGTTATCAATGACAGCAATTTTTCAGTTCAACTAAGCACAAAAATACCAGACTATTCTAAAACTTCATTTGTCCATAACAATCAAAGTCCACATGGTTTACCCTACATAGTACGACGACAATTTGATTCATATAAACTAGATGACATATTTTAGATCCTTACTTCAAGCATAATAATTTTCATTGGGACATCGAAACAAATGTTAATAGCCATAAGATAGATGCTCTTACTTGGTTGGGCTCTAACTGGGAAAGGACCACAGTCAGTAACTTGTCTTGTGCGATCTACTGATAGTGGGATCTGCTTTCCTGCAGATATAGTAGAAAACAGGACTTCCTATGAAATGAATTAATGATCTGCCTAACTAACGAGTTCATAGTCCACTTTTATCAATGCATGACATTAAAAATATTCACCATGACCACCACCACCACCCGCCCACTGATTAACTCAAATTTTATTGATAAATGGTCTAGATCAACACCCATGCAGATTAAAATAAGATAGAACGTACCCATTGGTTTGACATTTAATGAAGACGGAACAGTGTCAATGACTGGAGTTCGACGAGAGCTGCCTCCTGACTGTGGAATCAATTTTCCTACAAATAAAGTGAAAAGATCAGTTTAAAGAGAAGACTCGGGACTTCTAGGAATCAACAAAAATTTCATAGTTGTGATTTGAAATGAAAGACAAACATTTTCCGATCTACATAATGAAGACACAGAACAAGCAATTCAATTTCAGCTCTCAAATTCAATTGTCTTGTACAACTCATCAAACACATCCTTTTACTTCACCAAATAACACTCTACCGGTTGTACATTACAACATCAACTGGTATGGACACTTCCGACAATGACAAGGAAGATGTTCTTATTAAGAAACACTTGGAACTAAAGAATTCTTCAAAGTACAAAAACTTCCTGTTTGGTCCTATAAAATCATAATGAAAGGATGCAAATAATCAAATCAATTCTTTCTCATTTTTTTCCCCAGTAACTGGATAGGAAATTTGTGCATAATATGCATATTCAGATTGCCTATAATGAAAGACAATGCAAAATAGCAAATTAATGTAACAGATAAAGTAATATCACGGGGAAAATTTAGGCATTTCTGGATGACACCAAAAAAAATTTTGGTTTTAAATAATTTGATGCAAGTTTAGAAGCTAAGTAAGCCGACGAAATGCAGGTCATGACTATAAGTAGATATGTACATGGATGGAAAACATTACTACAATCCAAGTGGTCCATAGATTCACGCTGAAAAAGAGAATGCCTATATAGATCTTGAAAGAGTCATATCTTAAAAACTAGCTATTGAAGTTGAAGAGTCCAAGTCTATATAAACCACACATCGAAAGCCCATACTTTCGACGTGGAATTCAACTCTCATAAACCATAACAATCCACCACGCTCCGCAATCCTGACCCCCACGTCGAACTGGCTTTGTACTAGCACATGACTAGTCCAGATGAACACTACTATGTCAGCGTCACCATCCGTGTCGTTCCATTGCAATCGGGAGACATGGTGTCTGCACTGATACCATTAACATAGATCTTGAGAGAGCCATACCTCAAAAGCTAGCTGTTGAAGTTGGAGAACCTAAGTCTATATAAATCACACACCGAAAGCCCATACTTCCGGTGATAGATGAATTGTTAGATGAGTTGCATGGAGCTGTAATTTTTTCAAAATTGGACCTAAAATCTGGATATCACCGGATCAGAACGAAGGAGGAAGATGTTCTCAAAAAGGGTTTTAGAACTCACGAGGGTCATTACGAATTCTTAGTTATGCCATTCAACTTGACAATGTACCGACAACCTTTCAAAGCTTGACGAATGAAGTCTTCCAGCCATATCTCAGAAAATTTATACCGGTGTTTTTTGATGACATATTGATTTATAGTAAGTCAGCGAAGGAACACGAGCGGCCATTTAGACATCGCTTCAGGGTGCTTACAAAGGCATCAATTGTTTGCAAATGAAAAGAAATGCACATTTGGTCCTCAACAACTTGAATACCTTGGTCATATCATATCAGGGAAAGGGGCAGTGATAGATAAGCGATGTGCAAATGGCCTAAGCCCCGAAATATAAGGGAGTTGTGAGGGTTCCTACGGCTCACCAAATACTATCGGTGTTTTGTGGCGGGTTATGCCAAGATTGCTTGGCTGTTGAGGGAGCTTCTTAAGAAGAATGGGTTCAAGTGGAATAGAAGTGCAAAGGAAGCTTTCTGTAGTTTAAAATCAGCAATGACTCAGGTTTCTGTTTTGGCCTTGCCAGACTTTTCTCAGTTATTTATGGTGGAAGCTGAAGCATCAGGGCATGGATTGGGGGCGGTATTAATGCAACAACATCACCCAATCGCCTATTTTAGTCATATTCTGCCTCGGACTTCTTGACGGTAGTCTGTCCATGAGTGTGAGTTGATGGCGATTGTGTTCGCTGTACAAAAATGGCGCAAATTGTTGGGACGACATTTTGAAGTAAGAACAAATCAACGCAGTTTGAAATTCCTACTTGAGCAACGCTTAATTAGTGAAGATCATCATAAATGGTTAACGAAACTGCTGGGCTTCGATTTTGAAATTCAGTATCGCCCTGGCCCTGAAAATAGGGCTACAGGTGCACTCTCAAGGATTGAACCTGTTTTGAGTGTTCTAACTTTATCTATGCCTAAGGTGCTGCAATTGGAAGAGATTAAGAAGGCAATAGCTATAAATGTTGAGTTAGGAGGAATACTGAATAGCATCCAAACAAGGGCAGAGGTCAGACCGGGCTACTCATTGTTAGATGGGATCTTATGTTACAAGGGCGGGATGGTGTTACCAAAATCATCTCATTTTCCTAAGATCATGATGGAGTGTCATGATTACCAAGTTCGGGGCATTCCGGTTTCCTTAAAACCTATAGAAGGGTGGTATGTGAGGTGTATTGGAATGGAATGAAGAAAGATGTTAAGAATTTTGTGGCGAGATGCGGAGTGTGTCAGCAAAATATGTACATCGCCTTGTCACCTCAAGGTCTGTTACAGCCTCTTCCAATCCCAGAATCAGTGTGGGCAGACATAGCACTGGACTTTGTTGAAGGGTTATCAAAGTCAAACGGGTGGGACACTATACTGGTGGTTGTCGATCGTTTGAGTAAATATGGTCATTTCATCTGCCTTAAGAACCCATTTACTGCTCACTTTGTAGCCAGTATTTTCATCCGAGAGATTGTCCATTTGCACGGTATTCCACAGTCTATTGTCTCCGACAGGGATTGGATTTTTATGAGAAAATTCTGGGAGGAGTTATTCAAATTGCAGGGAACGGTACTCAAGCGGAGAACAAAGTCGTGACCGGTGTTTAGAGACTTACTTGAAATGCTTCGCTTCTGGTAACATCGTTCATGGAGTCTATGGTTACCATGGGCTGAATTCTGATATAATACTTCTTTTCACACGGCCACTAAACACACACATTTCCAGATTGTGTATGGGAGTTACCCTCCCTCTGTTCTGCCATTCGAGAAAGGAAGTACAGTTGTGTCATCAGTCCAGCAATCTCTAGTTGCTAGGGATGAAGTTTTACTTTAGCTGAAACTACAGCTGCAACATGCACAACAGAGAATGAAACGGGAAGCACACGGCCAGCGCAGAGACATTCGATTTGAGGTGGGGGAATTGGTATTTCTTAAATTGAGGCCCTATCGCCAAAGGTCAGTGGCTAATAGACTTTCTGCAAAACTTTCGCCGCTCTACTACGGACCATTTGAAGTTGAGGAAAAGGTGGGTCAGGTTTCTTATAAAGTGAAGCTTCCCCAGGAGGCAGCCATCCACTCAGTGTTTCATGTGTCACAGTTGCGAAAGGCAGTTGGAGCAGTTCAGACAGTCTGCTAATTACCTCCCAACTAGCTGCAAATGGTCAGTTCACAGTGGAGCCAGAAGCAGTGTTACAGGCTCAATATCCTAGTTCAGACTCAAGTTTGGGACTGGAAGTTCTCATCAAATGGAAGGATTCTCCTGAGTTTGAAGCTACTTGGGAGCCTTTAACAGCTCCAGATAGCAGTTGAGCCATGTGACGGGGGAATAAATATATTGGGGGGAATAGGGGAGCATTTTCATTCCAGATTTTTGTGAAGATTGTGAGCGGAGTTTTCCGGGCCTCTTGCCTCTTGAATTGCCTAGGAAGCTGTTTACTCACCTTCATTTCCATATCAATAATCTTATCAAAAAAAATAAAAAAATTTCCATATCAATAATATCGCATTTCTGATTCTGTTCATTCCTCCATATTTTACTTTACAAATATCAATTAAGAGTATTTATACTCCTATTTCTAGCCTGTTAAGTGGAAGGTAACACAATTTACTTGTTTGGGTAGATACTAAGCAGCTTCACCGTTAGCAGTAGCTTCCCTCAATCATCAACAACGGTGCGAAGTCATCAAGTACATATCAATGGTATCAAAGCAAGCATCATGTCTCCCGGTTGCAATCGAGCTACGCAAATGGTGACACTAGTAATATTCGTCCAGGACTAGACATGAGCTAGTGCAAAACCAGCCCGATGTGGGTGCCGGGAATGTAGAGCATGGTAGATTGTTATGGTTCCCAATGTAAGGTATGGGACTTGAATCCCACATCGAAAGTATAGGCTTTCGATGTATGGTTTATATAGTTTTGAACTTTCCAACTTCAACAGTTTTGAGGTATTGCTCTCTTAAGATCTATATCATATGGCTACAAGTGAAATAAAACTCATTCCTACCATTATATCCCCATTCTCATCATAGTTTTTCATATGTATGGCCGCAAGATCTAACTGGAAAGTGTAAACTTCAAATTTTTTTTTTTTTTTTATGATAATCGTGGATGTCCGGGCCAACTTGCGCGCACCTCGACTAATTCCACGGAGCCCTAAAGTTTACGGCCGGGTACTCACCTCAAGGGCCTTGAGGGAATTCGAACTGGTGATCATTGGGGAACAAACTCAAGGCCTGACCAATTGATCAACCTCTCAAGATTTCAAATTATACTCAACAATGCCTTCACTTTGATATCCTGATTATCATCTCATGTTTTAATACATTAAATCACTACAAGAGACCTCCTTGTCATTCAAATAACTTAGCCTCTTTCAAAATTTAAGCAGAAAGATTACATGGACACAATCCCTAATGTATTGTTTCCAAATCAAACACCATTTGTTTCATAAAAACACAGTTTCCTCCAAGTGATAACAAATTGCTGTTAAATTATTCATTTAATGACATGAAATATACATCTAAAAATAAGTTTTAATACATGTCAAATACCCCCATCTTAGATTTCTAATCAAGTTAAGAGAAATTATTTTTATGACACACGTGACTTCATTTTATTAGCTTACCAAGGAGGTAAGCACTTACAAAAAATGCCAATACCATTCTACTCCGTGTTTTGGGTGCTCATTGTTCCATGATGATGTCAGTTACTCCTTTATTGGTAGAGATTACAGGTTCAAGATTTTCTATAGATTAAGGGCCATATTGAGCATCCGGCTCATTTAAATCAATATGCAGAAATCAACACACAAAGAGTATGATGTCAAGAGGCACTCTGGAACAATTGAGAGTACAAGCTCATTTCAGCAGCCTAGCGCACCCCTAAACTACAAGGCCCCTATTCCAATTTTGAAAATGGAAAGCAGGCTGCCCTATCGATCGCTTATGTTGTTTTATAATCTCACATTAGGGTTATTAAATTATCTGCATACACTGTAATAGACTAAAATGGCACAGACAAAGCTTGATTGTCCTATAGAAGCATACAAAATATAAACATTCCGAATTAGAGAAATAAACTCCTAGATAAGAACTTCCACCATTACATATATACTAGAAGAAACAAAATTAAAAGGCAAGGGTACAGCATTAAAGTTGATAAACATAGAGACTTCAAATGTTCAAAAAGGTTGCAAGAGATTTAAAAAATGATTGTCATGATTCACCTAATTGAGCATGCCTGATGGAGCCTCCTTGATGTCTGAGGAAATGTGAATTCATGGAAGAGTCTGATGAGACATTCATAGAACTACGTGTGAAGTAATTATGTTTCTTATTAGAGATAGGTTGACGAGCAAACAATGTAGGCTTGGATGATTCTGATGGCAATGCTGTAACACTAGTATAATCAGGATGAACGATGGAAGTGCTGCTGCAGGGCAATGGGGATACAGCCAGATCACCTTGAGAGTTATGTCGGAAAGAAAGAGTTCCCTCCAATTTGCTGGTAACATCTTGATTTCTGAAATTACTAGAGGACATCGTTTCTGCATTACCTCCAATTCCAAGTGTCAGAAAACTCCCATCAGAAGAGGACAATTGATACATAAAAAGGAGATAACATAGGCATATAAAGCACCTCTGGAATCAACTAATTACAACAATGCACTTTTGTCTCTTTCTTTCTGAAATTATTTTAAGTAATTTTCATTCGTATTGACTTAATGGGGGAGAACATCCTAAGTCTGCCAAGAAACAGGTGCTAAAGAAATAATCTTGGCTAATAACATTCCTCAGAAGTGAAGCAAATCCAAACTTCAAAGAAGAAATAATAAAAACAGAGGCCTATAAGGCCTAGAAACACTGCAACTCCAAATATCCACACACTATAGGAACAACTAATATGTGCTATGCTATTGAGCTTAAAAAGATAAAAATTGGTAATTCATCCGCTTGGCATTCCCAGGATTAGTCTTTGTATCAGTTGTATTTTCTCTTATAGTGAGTCTCTTATCTATAAAGCCAAGAAAACCTAAACTATGATTGAAAGTAGAAAAAAATTTATAAACCCCCAGACAACCATAATTAAAGCATAAATTTACATGTATGTAGAACTTATGCACATTCAGAAAACACTAACGAATTGACATAATTCTTTTTAATCATATTGAGAAAAAGTACCCAGTTTATTTCTTGCTTAAAGATCGAAGAACAGAACTAGTTCGCAACTTTACATACTCAATCGTTGAATTATCTCCAAATCCAAAATTCGCCAATTAGATGTTTAAAATCACATATATAAAATCATAATTAAATAAAAATTCCACATTATATCTTCAATCTACTTATAACCCACAAAGGCTCCTACCAGCGAGAAGTGATTTTGATCCGTGAAGTTTCAAAAAGCAGAATTGAGAGAGAGAGGGGACGGTGGAGCTTTTAGGGCTTTACTGTGATTTATAAAGGGTTCGGTTCTCGGCCCACTTGCTGAGTAAAAGGGCCCCACGTATGACACGTCATCTGTTAAAGTAAAAGGCGATTTGAGGTTTTTCATTGACATCCAATGTTTTTTCATTCAGACTATTTTAGTCATTTCAATGGAACGTAAGGGAGTATTCGGACAATAGAGGAGTTTTACACGTGGGTGGCATAGAAATAATTGTTTGCCAAAGCATAATTTAAGTTGATCACACATATATTTTTATCCACACACAACTACTATTTATTTATTATTCACATACTCCAAAGAACCTAAAGAATCACTTTAATCTTAATTTAAGCAATTCCAAAGCATTCTCCCAAATCCCGATACCACAAAATATGGCTATAAGGTCATCTTCAATGGTTGCTCCAAACTAAAAATCAACTCTAACCCAACACACCAAAAGTTGTATGTAGTATAGTTTTACCACATAAATATTTTGTTCTTATTTAATTTTCATATTATCATATTATTCTCGTTCCTTTATTTACTGATCAAGTGGTACCGATTTAGTGATTAATTTTTTTAAAAGTGGTATCAGAACGAGGTTCGATCAACTTAATTTAAGGTTTGATTTTTTTGTGGTGGCAACTATAAAATATGATATTCAACTGCTGGATCGTAAAACTAGATTTTCACTTGGTAGGTAAAGATGAATGTAATGCTCACTCAGATGGATTTGGATGATGCGTTGTTAGAATTTAACAAAATGCCCTCGACTTGGTCTATGCAGGAGAGACAACGTAAGGATCGAAAGACCATATCACAGATATATCTTCATCTGCAGCAACGCATGTGTTCTCATCGTACGACAGAAGGTACATCATTGGAAGATCACCTAACTATCTTTAAGTAAATCATCGCTAATTTGGAGATCTTGGAGATCAAGCATGATGAAGAGGATTTAAAGTTGATATTATTGTATTCGTTGCCCGCTTTATACATGTCGTTTAGTGACACGATCTTATACAGTTGTGATACTCTCACAATTGAAAACGTTTATGGTGCTCTATTTTCAAATGCGAATGTAAAACATCTTATTGGATCTAAAGCTTCTTGAGATGGCCTTATTGTTCATGGTGGTTATGTGAAGAGCAGATCAATGTCTAATTAAAGTAATAAAGTCTGTAATTATTACAAAAGACAAGGCACATTAGAAATGATTTTTATAAGTTGCAAAAAAGGGAAAAATTAGCTCCTGCAAATCAAAATAAAAAATAATCAAAAATTTCAGGTGAAGTCAGAATTACAAAAAAATTGCTACAAAGATGGACAACTTATAGTTATTTCTGACGTCAACTCCAAACCTGAAGAGAATTTGATTCTTATATAGCTTGCACTTTTCATACGTGTCCTAATCAGGATTCATTTTCAACATATAAAACAGTTTCCAAAGGTGTTATGGTAATGAGAAATAATTTACCTTGTAGAATAGCTAGTATTGGAAGGGTCGGAATTAAGATGTTTGACGAGAATGTTAAGACACGTAATAATGTGAGACATGTTCCTAATTTGAAGATAAATCTTATCTCTTTGAGTACTCTTAATTCAAAAGGGTACACGTACGCTTGTATCGATAGACACTTGAAGGTTAGCAAAGATGCTCGCGTTGTATTGAAGGGACAGAAAAGGTCCCAGTAATATGTCTTCCTCGGTTCCACGGAATCTTTGAATATTAGCAGAAATTAAGGACTCGGGTGGATTTTGAGTTTGGCCAAGTACCGTTGGAGTTTGGTTTAGGATCCATATTAAAAAATACATCTCAACCGAGTTCAGAAGTTATGGGTAATGCCGCTTTGCCACCATCACCAGCAATACCATTGTATTCAATAGTTAGAGATAGACTCGGAAGAGATATTAGGCCTCACAAAGGTATGGTGAAGCTGATTTTGTTACTTATGTTTTAAGTGCAATAGAAGGTGTTAAGTCTGGCGAATAACCTTCGCCATAAGCATTTTGTGTTGATTCTGTTACAAGGTAGTTATTATCATGTTTGGTAAATATTAAGTTATTTGTGATTTTGTTGCTAGTAGGGATAATTTGAGTAATTTTGGTGCCTAAGATAATCTGTTGAGCATTGCTCGAATTCAGTTGATTTATTAAGTTATTGAGTTTGCCCTAATTGGGTTTTGTGAAGAGGTCGAGAATTTTTGGTTGAATAGTTAATTTTTATTCCTTGTAGTTGAATCATTATATTCTACACAATAATTTGTAATCATCTATTATTTATATTAATAAATTATCTTCTTCTACACCGTGGTATATTTTTAATACGTAAATCTTGTATTCTTGTTTGATTTTCATATTTCCATATTATTCTCGTTCCTTTATTTACTAATCAAGTGATACAGGTTCAGTGCATAATTCTTCTGGTATCAGAGCAAGGTTTGATCAACTCCATTCGAGGTTTTTTTTTATGGCAATTATAAAGTATGATATTCCGCTACTCAATTGCAACATAAGATTTTCGCTTTGGCAAGTAAAGATGGGAACGTTGCTCGCTCAAATGGATTTGGATGACGTGTTGTTGAGATTTGACAAGATACCCCCAACTTGGTCTGTAACNAAAAAAAAACGAGTTAAATGTTTATTTTTTAGACATACGTTTGACGTCTGTTTAACTATGTTCGATATCCATTTGGATCATTCGATATAGCTACAATATAGTTCTCGAAACAAGTTTTGATATAAAGTTGGCGATTTGTGAATTCAGTTAGCGTACGATCGCCGACAAATTTTTAAATTTAGTATGTTATCGAAATTTTTGAAATACTAATTTGAAATGGCCTACTTTGACGCGCCATAACTTTTGTTGCGGTTGACTATTCCACACGCCGTTAATGAGACGAGAACTAGGCTATGAGTACTTTGTAATTGTATTAAGAATGTAATATTTGAACTTCGTTTGACATTCCCTAATTACCTCGGAAGTTTGAGACGTAAACTTAGTAAATTATTGACTTCTCAATTTGAAATGCATGAATGGTGGCCACGTTTCATACCTATGTCTAAGTTTAGCTCCGCTGAGCCATTCCAAGTTTGTCCTAATCACCAAGACAATTGCTCCCTGAGTGACACCACCTACTTAATTGGGTGATCATGCCACGAATTGCTTAAGTGGAATGATTATGCCACGGATGAATTCTACATTAGAATTCAAAAAATTTCTTATTTAAAATATGTTTATAAAACATGCCTGTAAATAGATACATTCAATTGAATTAAACGATACAGCAAATCTTACGAGAAAAAGTTCTTTTCTTTAAACGTAAATGAGCAAGTAGTTCAACTCTCCCAAATCTTAAATCTTCGAGGCCCAAAACAATTTCTATCCTCCAACAAATGAGTAATGTATACACCTTGTAGACATAAAATTATGTGGCTATGTGAATTTAATTGCACATTGTTTATTAAATTGTTTGATTATCAAGAAATCTTGTTTTCTTGCATGGATTATAAATTCTTAGCTTCTATCACACTATTGATATGTAGTTAATGTAATGTTTCGATATGTAGTTAATGTAGTTAATGTAATGTTTCGATAATAGAAAGTATGTAATGTATAGGTAGTTTGAAAGGTTCAATAGAGGAAATTTGATAACTTGTAATCCTCTTTTGAATTTACGTAAACGGTATATATATAATACAGTTCAAGTACCATATGCTTCCTTAATGTGTTTTAAATTATTGAGATGTGAATGGGATTGAAGTTTTATAAAATCTTAAATTTAAATTTCTCAAGCGTTAATACATACCCCGCACCCCGGAAATATTTTCATAAATCTATTTTTATCTTATTCAACCTTAATTGCTTAATTAATATTTTGTCAGGGCGTGGCATGGTCTACGGAGGAGAGACAATGTAGGGATTGAAATGCCCTATGTTAGATACATCTTCATCTTTCGAATAATATTCTTCAAGACGTTTTAAAAGAGAAACTCACCCCTTCATTATAGTTGAAAATGGAGCAGTTATGTATGAAGAAAAGACTAACCAGCAAATTGCATTTGAAGCAACTCATGTATTCTCATCGTATGATAGAAGATACAGCACTGGAAGATCACCTAGCTATCTT